TAAAACACGACTACAAGTGCTTTAAATGGCTTAAAAAACGACTCATCTTATACGAGTTCATTGGCGAAGTAATTTTTAAAATAAACTTTGTTTAAACCGAGAAAATCAAAGCTAAAGTTTATGTAAATTAACATGATTTTTTATCGCATATAAAACCACGACACGCTTATGATTTTTCTTTGTGTTTTGCTCCGGAATTATTAATGAGTTTTTTAAATATATATATCGAACTCAAAATTAGTAAACCAGGGGGGGTCTTTTCCAACAAACTAAAAATGGCTTGCGCACGAGATTTAAAAGCTTTAATCGTATTTTGAGTTAATGGGTGAAAAATGTGTTGGATGTTTGATTGCTGCACGAAATTTCAGACAATTTGCTTCAGTTTAAGTCCTTTAACTATTCAGGCAAACTTACATTTTCCCCTAAAAAATCAGCCTTTTGCATGTTTAATTAATGCCTTTGCCTAATTTGTATATGTCAGCAATCAAACTACAGCAAAGTGTCTGCAATTTTGTACAGTAATTAAAAACCCAACAAATGTTCCATCCATTAACTCAAAATACGCTTAAAGCTTTTAAATATCGTGCGCAAGCCACTTTTAGTTTGTTGGAAAAGAAACACCCCTGGTTTACACAATTTGAGTTCGAGTATTTTTTTCCATTATTCTACATTATGCATGGTACTCAAGGAATCTATATATAACAAAAACTTGATACCACGAGCTGTTTTGCGAAATTGAGAGCAATTTCAAATCTGTTGACTTTTTTTATACACCCTGTAGTGCGATTGACATGACGTAAACGACAATAGTTAAAATTCGACACACAATAACGCGGTATTGATTTCACTCATGACCAGCTTCTCGCAAAAGGCGCTTTGTTCCATGAAATAGCGCTACGCTTCCAAGAAACTTGGACAGTAAAACGTAAATGATGTACACGTAATAAATCTGTAAATACATATTGCTTATAAAATACGTATTGCTTATAAAATACATATTGGCTATTACTTATAAAATACATATTGCTTATAAAATACATGTTTAACAGATATAGTTATGCTTATTAATAGTTATCGACCTGAACTCGCCGCTTAATACACGAATATAAACGATACAATATGCAACCGATACAGATGCACACGATACTCAGAGTCACACACAGAATGATTGTCTTTACTTTCTGTGAAATTTTGCTCTCTTTCCGCTCTACACAACAATGCGGTTCTCCACAGCATTCTGGTGGGCATAAACCTTGCAGCAAAGTGCATTTCTGGGGATTTCTTTTGATGCAACAATCGGCTGGACAGTTCTCTATGTATTCCCCATCATCACAGACACCATTGAAACAACTGCGCAATTTGCTACCAACTTGTTTGTCATAATATGGCGTCTCTCCGGGAACACCACCATCACTTAAGAAAGGATTGTAATTACTAAATCCTTCTTCGCCAGCAATGTTTTGACAAGCAGTCTCGAAACAACCTCGAAATAGCCAACATCCGACTGGAAGGTTGCTGTACCGTCTTTTGCAAGTGTTTGCTTCATGAGTTTGGCCATTACAACCCCCACACGAGAACGGCATAGACAGCTTTCGAGCGAAGCTCAATTTGTTTCGTCCACAGCTATTGCAATAATCTCCGGTTGAACCATACGTTTTGCCGAAACAATGTTCAATCTCTTCGCCACAACTGTTGCAACAAACATAGTCAATTTTGTCGTTTTCTCTCTCCCATTTAAACGATAAACATTTTCCTTTTGGGGCCTGATCGCGTTTGGTTTCTGAAAATGCGTCAACTAATGCAAAATGAACGCAGAGAATAATCCCGAAACAAACTTGAAAAAACATTTTCCCCTCTTTGATCTCAGGTTTGGAACTTCAGAATTGCCAAATTTTTGGAACTTTCAATTTCTGAACGAATAGCAGATTTAATATACAGAATGGTTGCTGTGTGACATTAGCGCCTCACTGCCGTGAAGCCCTTGGAAACGAAGATGTCACAATGTGATTGAAATACGATCCCCTTTTACAGCAGTGTTATAGTTCTTCAATCTGCGCCGGAGATAGCGTTCAGTTATATCTTGGCTATTAACTAATTGAGAATACTTCATGTAGAAACAGTGCTTGGGGAATATTTCGCCGCATGATGCATAGTTACTTTCATTTTTCAGTCCAAATGTAGGTGGTCGGACTTTCATTGATGTGGATTTCAGTGAATAGTAGTTTGTTTTCCAACTGGACCAGTTTATACCGTCAGCATACGATTTGTGTGCACCATAATGATACAGGCCATTCAGATTAGATGAATGACAACTATTATACCACCAAGCACCTTTGAATGAAACAGCACAGTTGCCATTATATATATTATTGTCGGAATCTTTAGTCGTGAACGCCTGACCATTATGATCAGAGAATGAATCTCCTGCTGTACGTAAAGATAATTACCAAAATACTCAATGTCGGTTCGAAATAACTCCATTGGAGTTATGGAAGTGTTTCAAATTTTCCAGTGAAATAGGGCTGCTGCTCAGTGGCGTAACGCTCATTAGGTAGGGTTAGTTAAAAAACTAAGGACCCCCGACTGGCCCGACAGTTAGGGGCCCCATCAGTCACGGCCTATCGCCAAGAAAATTAGAAAACGTAAAAAATGCAGTTATGAATCAATGCATGAGAAAATGCAAAATTAATAATGCTAAATAATAAAGCCTCCATCAACAACGGTAGCCGATTTTTTTATCCCATCTCAAATAAAACAAAATTTATTATTATTAGTTGATACATGTGTTGGAGACTGTTATTGTTTTCGGTTATGGACATGGAATTTTCCAGAACATTCTATAAATATTCAATATAAATATAATATCTCAGTCAAACAATGACAACAGTCAAATCAACAGAGAAATCCTCGGTAGAAATCAACACTTCCATCAAGGCGACGTTGAAACACAGTCCATCCTCCCCCGGATGTTGTCATATCACAGAAGACGCTGAAACTGCCGAAACTATCTGGATCAATTTGATAAACTCCATTTTCTTTTATTCCCTTTTGGAATAAATCAGCGCAGTTCTTACCTATCAATAACAAAAAAATAACGATTGTTTATATTAAGCGAAAGAAAAAAGGAACAGTATAATATACTATAGCTAATGTAACTACAGTCGAACCCCTATTAAGCGGACACCTTCGGGACCTCGTCTAAGTGTCCGCTTAAAAGGGGTGTCCGCTTAAAAGGGGTATGTAGAAAAACGCAGCAGGAGGCCAAGGTGTGTAATTAGGTATGTAATTTGAGTATCAAAACAGTAAAAAATATTTAGCATAAACTAAAAATTTCTTTGTGCATAAAAGTTCATTATAAAATGTATACGTCTCTCGCAGTCATATAAAAAAGGAATCGATACAAGTTTACTTTCGAGGCTCACGCAGACGATAGCGCATTATAATGTCATTTACATAAAAATGGCGTTGGAAAGTTCTTCCAAACCTCGAAATTGTGCGAATTCTGCCAGCCGCTCGACAACTTTAAGGGCTTCGAGGACGATTTAATGACTGGTTCGTTAAGAGACCAGTCAAATTCATTATCTTCGTTCAGTTCGTTGTCATCATCAGTGATCTGACACATATCTTTTGGCTGCTCGGCTGGCGGCTCACAGTCCTCATTCGTCACTTCCTCAATAATCTTGGCTCTGATGTCTTCGCGCCAAGTTGGTGTGTCACTGTCAATGTGCCATGTAAATTGGTCTCAATTGTTATTTACTGTCGAATATTGAATACATTTTATCAGACAATACAATACAATACAATACAATAACTTTTATTGTACCCATTTGTTAAAATACTACATGGATTATAAGACAAATTAATTATAATAAGACAATCTGTCATCTGTCCGCTTAAGAGAGGTTGGTTTGCCCATTGGGACCTCCAGAAAGGTGTCCGCGTCCGTTATAGAGGGGTGTCCGCTTAATAGGGGTTATGATAATAGTATTTTATTAAAGAAAACGAATGGGACCCGAGATATGTGTCCGCTTAAAAGAGGTGTCCGCTTAAGAGAGGTGTCCGCTTATAGGGGTTCGACTGTATGCACAGACGCTGCTTCATAGCTAAATGATATCCATCGATTTATCATTTTGAGGCTTTCTTAGAAGACTTGAAATGTCTTCAATTGCATTCTGCAATTTTCTTACTTCTTCAAAAACCTTTCCGATGATATCCTCTTGACGTTGTCTTAACGCTTGAACTTGCTCTTCAACATTCATAATGGCTGGTTTTAATTCACATGTTGATGATATTTTCCTTTCCCTTAGATAATCATCCCTCTCCTCATTTTTGGAGCAGAGTTCTCTAAATATGACAGTCTGATTACATATTAAATTAACCTGACTTTACAGTACCAGTTTTAGCGAGCGGCAAGTGTACATTGAATTATAGTAAGCAAGATGCCTGCGCAGGCGTACACTCCGGCTACCGCCCATGAGGCGGCATAATAGGAACTAAGGCAAGTCATGTGGAAGAAGTGCTTAATTAAAAAGTCGACTAGTCTGTGGTTAAATTGATTCAGAGGGAAATTCTATTACGGGAAAGCCTGAAGCGTAGCTATTTTTGAGATGGTGTTATAGAAAGGCGGTGTGCTGTAAAATATAGAAACACATAGGTAACGTGCGTTTTTTGTGCTTTATTAATCAAATTTTGTTGTTTTTTTAATAAAAGCGCACTGTGTACACGCTCGTGATTCGTGAACTACACAATGTATTTGTTTAAATGTTTCTTGTACACGTCTGTGTACCGTATTAATCATTAACTTGCAGTAAACATTCATTAAAATAGCCATAGCAGCAGGAGTCAATCATTTGATATATGGGACAAAATGATTTTCGAGGTCATAAGTCCTAATTTTAATAGTACATAGAACATAAACAATGCGCGCCTCTAATGCATCAGTCAATTCCAGCTGCGACCATCCCCCCCCCCCCCAAGGACAGTGGGGACATTTTTCCGCTTTTTACTTGTCCCCACGGCCGGGAATTTGCAGCTGCGTGTTCACCCGGGGGCCGGGCATTTGTCAATATCGGGTTATTACCCCCGGGCATTTGTCGCTCACGGAGAAAAGACCGCGGCCACGAGTTTCCTTTGTTGTATGCCAAAATGGACGACTTTTAAATGCGTTAAACAAATTTTATATTATATTAAGTGTGAATCAATGTTTAAGAATTTCCTTCAGTCCATATTCTATATATTCTATTTATACAATGAAAAACTTTCTGCAATAAAAGCAAGTGTGTCACAGCCTTTCATCGATGTTTTCATCTGAAATGAACACGTACGATAGTTTTCCTTGTTTTTGTTTTTTTAAATTCCCAAAAGAACAATTAACAGCTAAAGGTATAAATACAAATTGTTAAAACACATGTAATTAATTTAGTACATTCTTTGAAATTGACTAACTTGTCGGCCCGGGGGTTGGGCATTTGTTTTGCTTTTTCGTCCCAAGGGTGGGGCATTGTTCCTTTTTTTGCACGAAAAAAATGAAAATTTACCAATACCCGGGGGTTGTCCCGGGGGGGGATGGTCGCAGCTGGAATTGACTGATGCATAAGTTGTGGTCTTGTGGACAACATGTATTTACAAACATAGCTACTATTTCATTACGAAAAAAAATTAAATTAAACGTGCTACGTGTATTTAGTACGATCATTCGATCTTATAACTTCCCCACTTAGTATGTATACGATAACGGTTTGGTATACTATTCTTTGAATGAGCAATAATGGTACTGCATTGAAACCGTATGGTTTCTCTTTCTGGTTGTTCCTTTAGTTGTGGATTATATTCTCTCTCTATATATAGCATATTGCCTAGGGGTCTTTTAAATAAAAGCCATTCAGGGTTTCTTGAAGACAGCTAACCCTAATCATTTCTTCTAAAATGTAAATAGTTGTTTTGTTGGCACTAAATTATGGGCAAATGAATAGTAATAATATTTATAACAAAAAATAATAATAATAATCATAATAATCATGGCCGTACTAGACTCAGTCAGATCTCTAGTGTTATCCTCCAAACACCCTTGTGTAATACCACTACATTTATATCATCGTATTTTAACCGTATACTTAAACCATGGAATATTGTATGTAAAGAGGTTAATCCTGAAACTTTTTCCAGCCCTATCTCTTTTAGAAACTTTCTCAAACTTAAATACTCTCATCTTGTTCACACAGTCTACGATGTTGAATTACCCTGTACCTGGTCCTTGGTCCGGGACTGTCCCTGCCATATAGGACTTAAGGTTATGTGCGTGTGTGGTGTATAGTGTGTGTCTGCATATCTCTCCGTGTGTCTGTGTTTGTCGACACGTCTCTCATTCTTTCTCTCTTTGTACATCTCTTCCCTCTTTCATTTCTTTCTTCTCTCTCATCCACTCCTTCATAGTAATTTTGGTAACATATATATTAATATTTGATTTTTTTTTATAATATGCAACTTCGCTGGCAGGTGCCTTGCATGGGTCCAAATTCTATAGAGTCCCGTTCGTACCTTGCCATTTTGGATCACTCGCTAAATATGTACATATATTTTATATATATATATATATATATATATATATATATATATATATATATATATATATATATATATATATATATATATACAATTATTTGCATATGCATGTATATAGTTTGTTGTTTTCTTTCTACATAGTGAACTTATATTGTAATAATTTGATCCGAATAAATTTGTTAAAATAAAAAAATAAAAATAATAATAAGCAGACTTTACAATTCCATGACCCGCTTACTGCGCAACGGAATTATTAGTAGCATTTAGCAAGGTTGCTTGCTGTATAATCCACTGAGCGATTTGAAAAGGCACCGGAAACCGCATGGTTTCTCATTATGGTTAATTTATCCTTTAAATTGTGGATTATATATTTATATTCTCTGTAGGATTTAAGTCAGGCGAATGTGCCGGTATTCGCCGGTATTGTGACTTTTCATGAGCATTTTATACTTTTAATGCACAAAAAGACTTTAGTCTTTTATAGGCCTACATATAATTCCATAACCCACTCATTGCGCAACGGAATTATTAGCATTTAGGATTTTAGCAAAGTTGCTGCAGGATAATACACTGAGCGAATTGGAACCGTCAAAATAATGATCATCACAAACAATATTGAACTTTCTCGGTAAAAACATTGAACTTTGTCACATGAGAATAGAATAATTTCAATGTATACAAAGGTTCACACATTCTTCAAAAACGTTTAAATAGTCTTTATATTCTATACTGTGCAACCTGCGAGGCTGCGATATTCACCAATGCAATGACTACCACGTATTTCGAAAAATCCCCAAGTTTTGGACGTATGCATGAAGATTGAAGTCGCCTACTTTCGAAGGATTTTAAAACGTCTGTAGACAAGCTAGGATTTTATCAAAACCCTGTATATACGAGTACTCTTTTAAAAGTATGCTCTGGCACGAATGCCGATACTATTTTATAAAAAAACCAAAATATTTCTGTTTTCATATTTTTAAATTAAACTCCTAAATCGACGGCCATTTTGACGTGAGCTCGTGAATCATTAGAGGAGAAAAGCGGTTAACTCCATGAACGTAGGTCGCCATTATATTTTTGTTTATCTCTAGAATTTGAACCAATTGTGCATGGCAAATTAATGTAAAGTAATGGGAGAAGTTTATTGGGCATTTAGGTAGCTATATATCTACCACAGTGCAGGCTTACTTTGTTTGTAGCCCAATCTTTCCGCAAAAATGCTCCGGCGAGTTCTGCGCGATGCGGATGACAAAACGTCCTATACAGCAAAGGACATGCAGTAAACACTCTTTAGCTTCATCATTAATAATTTTAATATTACATTCAAAATAACAGGATATCGCTCAATATAAGATAACAGGATATCGCATTATAGCACATGCATGTATCAAATGTGGCTTAGTTTAATTAAAAGGGTTTCTTAAATTAATTTAACGCCTTATTTACCTGGCACTGATTCGGTAACATTTCTACATGCATATAGGATACACAGCAATATTGATCTGTAGACTGTAGTATATGCTAAACTGAATTTTAATGATGATCTACAAGAATATCCATTGACTTGAAACAGCATCGATTTGATTTACTGTTGCCCATTGGTAATTATTATTGTAAAGTTTCGATCAGCTTCTGCTGATCCTTGCACAAAATTATATGCAAAGTGAAGATACAACTTATTCAGTGTTTGCTGATAAATAGAACATTGCACGTATAACTGCTATGTCTTGCGGGGTGGGAAGCTGATATTGGGCCATGCATATTCACTTGGTATGCACTGACGAGTTAAGCTGCTTGGACAAATTCACCAACTGACAAATAAAATGTATGTCAGTAAAACTACATTAACTAGTGAGTATAATATTGTACGTATAATATACCGATTCGGCTTACGTACCCTTTTATAGCACTAAACAGGAAAAGACACATGCAGGAACACCACAACTGAATATATATTGTTCATCTTGCGACACAACGAGAATAGATTGATTGAACGAACTACGAAGTCATTTTCTGGCAAGTCATTCAATAGCCCAGTATGATACCTACCATAATATATATATATATATATATATATATATATATATATATATATATATATATATATATATATATATATATATATATATATATATATATATATATATATATATATATATATATATATATATATATATATATATACATTATCAGAAGGTTACGTGGTTCAATTCCCGTTAGGGCTCAGACTACTTTTCTGAGTAAATATATATAGACTTGATGCGCATCCACACCAAATCACATATTTCACAAGCTACCACAGCAGCACACATGCATATACAGAAATGCAGTTCTTAATAAAAAACATCAACAAGACATGTCGAGACTTGCAGTTAGCAGTACACATGTAACACACAGAACTAGTAATAACGTAACCTTGGCTGACCATCTGAGGCCTTATAGCTCAATGGTTAGAGCGTCTGCCCGGTTACTCAGAAGGTTACGTGTTTCAATTCCCGTTAGGGCTCAGTAAATAGGCTTGATACGCATCCACACCAAATAATATATATATATGCGTGGCGAAACCAGAATTTTATTTTTTCCTCGATATTTTCGTGGTCACAAAGAACGAATTTGGGCATAAAAATGTTTAAATTTATCCAAACACTAACCATTTATACATATTTGTAATAGCTACAACATGACGATTCTAAATATGTTTGAATGAATTTCATACATGCAGTATCAGTCATGTGTTGTTTTTAAATGGCTTATGTGTGAATAATGCATTATAATCTCACATATAGGCTATTATAGGAAATATTACAGCAGATAATCGATCATAACCTTTGAAAACTGCATGTATGAAATTCATTCGATCATATTTAAAATTGTGATCAATCTCGTACTTGTCATAGGCTACTTGCAGCACGCCAAATTTTGCTGACCCAAAAATGGGTCAGTAACGCTGATCTATACATATTGTGAGCTTCATTTGTTGATGATCTCTTCAACCAATCAGAGAAGCGTGAAAGGGACATGTTGACGTATTTATTAATAGACTTCCGGAAACAAGGAAATTGCGGAGTTTGACTAATGGTCGCGGGTCGCGTGTCACGGGTAAAAAAAGTCGCGGGTCGTAAAAAAGCTCTAAACAGTGTATTTTATTGAGTCCAGGGGCGTAGCATGACCTTTTTAACTGGGGGGGTGTAACATCTAAGTTTTACCGACCCACGAGGCGCCACCATGGTTGGCGCCGAGCGGAAAATTTTTGAAAATATGGAGTCTCTAGATCGTTGGAAATGGCATTTTCAGAGCCTTCTGTACCTTATACACACAAGGTTTGGTAGCTTTTATTTATATCAAACAAAACCATATTGTTGAAGTTGTGTTATTTTCGAAATCCGTGAGAATCCGTCAGATATTAACAAGCTGTGAGACTCTGAGTGTGAGCTCACCGTGAGGTTTTATTAGAATCCGTGACCGCCCCTTATACGCTACATATAACATATACCATAACAGCTATACAGCAATTGACAAATAAATATTTCGGCGCGCGTTTAATTTAATGACACTTACCGTGACTTTAGTCAGCCGTCTAGAAATAACGTAGAACCAGAAACGTAGCAAACGCTTTATTAATTGGAATAATTGTTGTCTTTGTTACTTCGCGATAAGTCATTTTACCCAATGGCATTTATCTTGTTGTTTATTGTAATGAACAGACTTGAAAAATTGGAGAAACATTTTATGAGCACCGCGTGTCAATAACAAATATATAAATATAATCTTTAATTCTTTGCGTATCATTGTATCAAGGTCAAAAGTTCGCGCACAGTTGAACATGTCCAATCAGAACCGACTGTTTTCGCAGCTCTTGCAAATGTAATACGATAGGAAATTAGGGGCTCCAATGCTTATGTGTAGATATTTAATATAAGTGTTTTAATACTGAAGAATTACGTACATTTTGCATAACTTTATTGGAGAACAAGGCACAACATTAATTTAATTTTTTTTTATTATTAAAAGCCATTTACCGAGGAGCAAAATTCCACTTTAACCGATTTGTTTTACCGACCGCTGTCATGGCTCTTGCCATTACCGAATAACTTCGCGTTTTACCGACTACCTCACTAAAACTGGGGGTGTCACACCCCCCCCCCCGCACGCTACGCCCCTGATTGAGTCGCGGGTTGAATAAAGTGTGTAAAAATCACATTAACATTTAGTTATTTAATGGTTTTTATCAATAGTTGTTCGAAGATGTTATGGCTGTAATTTCGAGTTTCTAGATAAATATAGACAAGAACCATATAACATTATTGTAAAGCACGTTGATAGACGGTAATGCAAAAGGATCCTGTTACACATTCCTATGTTTATAGTCCTCATTTTAGTAATACATATTACCATCCAATTTCTACCATATCAGGCGTAAAAATCCGCTATTCAGTGGCTCAGTGTGCGTTGTCGTCAAGCCTCTGCGCATCGATCAGTACTTTCCAGAAACAAGTGCTAGAGAACAGCGACTTAAATAACCGGGTTGTTGGTGAATCATAATGTACTTTTATAATGTCCTAGCATGGATATATCTATTATTTGTGATACTATATGGTTGTTTTTAAATTGGTATAAAACTGATTGTAATAGACTAATAGTAGTGGCAAACTGAATTTATTTCTACCAAAGTCTTGTTTGTTTCTTTCAGAACATATTTTTTTATTAGAGGATTTTTGTCATGGTACAATTGTTGGTTTAACATAATTATTCTTTCAAGTTTTAGGCTTCTGGCACGTTTATATAGAACCATTAAATCATGACAAAAGGCTCTTGGGCAATATTTCGTAATTGAAGCAATCCTATATAGTTGTTTACTAAATGAATAACGTGATTTTACACACTTTATTCAACCCGGGACCTGAATAAAATACACGGTTTGGAGCTCTTTTACGACCCGCGACTTTTTACCCGCGACATTTTACCCGCGACATTCTACCCGCGACACATGACCATTAGTCAAACTTATTAAATCATGACAAAAGGCTCTTGGGCAATATTTCGTATTGAAGTAATCCTATATAGTTGTTTACTAAATGACAACGTGATTTTACACACTTTATTCAACCCGCGACCAGTGGCGGCGCCAGGCTTCCAAATTTGGGGGGGCATTTGAGGGGCAAACTCAAATTTTGGGGGGGGGCAAGATAGAATTTTTAAAAAGGTCGCCCCCCCCAAGGAAATTCGCCCCCCCCCCTCAAAACGTGGCGATATTCCTAGGAATATCGCCCCCGGGGGCGAATATCCTAGGAATATCGCCTCCCAGGGGGGTGGGGCGAATACCCTAGGAATATCGCCCCTCTTTAGGACATTCGCCCCCCATATATGCGATGTGGTTTATTCAAATAATTTCGTGATACTTTCATCTTATTATTGCCTTACACGTTTGAGAATTTAACTCTGCAAAACTAAAGCTTTTTTGTCTTTTTTTGAAACGTATTATTGGAGTATTGGCAAGTTTTACCATTCAGAGATTTACAAACTAATATTGAAACTGTAAAAAACAGTTTCATGTATACACGCATTCACTAATGAGTAATGACAACTTATAAGCCATACATTTTCCGATAACGACAAAACGCTTGTGTAGCCTTTAGTCGCTCTTAGTGACTAATAATTTTTTTTGAGGGGGGCAAAATGGGGGGGGAAATAATTGGGGAGCATTTGCCCCCCCTTGCCCCACCCTGGCGCCGCCACTGATATATATATATATATATATATATATATATATATATATATATATATATATATATATATATATATATATATATATATATATATACTAGGGTACTGCCGTGTTAAAGTATGGGTAAATATCAAGATTTTGTTGGCATCTCACTCGATTGAATAATATAGGATTCCTGCCAGAGGACGCAGCTGTTTCTGGTTTGGTTTAATAGATGTATATATTATATATTATAAAATTTACCATCTACAAATCCTTCAAGGAATACGGTGTTACAACGTTATCGTTTTGGATCGATGTTTATCAGAACCGTGATAAGGGTTTTACTAGGGAGCTTACGCAAGCGACGTTTTTGTCAACATGGTCGTCAGATTGCCGAGGGGGGACTGGTTTAAAAACTGTGTTTGTGTCAGTTTGTGGTATAATAATTTTCAACCATAATTCCACACATATAGGCCGTTTGCTGCATCTCGATATTTTTCATGCACTTTCATTTCTCATGTCTTGGATCGAACTGAAATATTTTTACGGGAACTAACACTTTCGAACACGCTGAGTTCAAATCCGAAAAGTTCCCGCTCGGTAGACTTGCAGTTTTCTCACAAACTGCAATTTCATCTTCACTAATTTCACGACAAATACAGATAACGCTTTCTAGAATCCTCAGTTCTATCTCTATAAAATTACAAGGACGTTAATGCTAAGTCTTTTGGCTATGTCACTGGCCTGAAAAATAACTCTTTTAACTGACGCGATCAACGTATTTAAAACAAAAGTAACGCGAAGCCAACGGAACGGCGAATTAGACAACGCTAAAATGAAATAATGTCGATGGGTTGCTGGTAGAATACTTACGACAGGATCACTCTTAAATAACCCTGGAATAAATGTTCACATCAAAGACAAAGATCAGTGCCAAAGTATAAAATCTGCTCTGTAAACTTATAGGCTACGAGTTACGACGAAGACGAAGTGGAGAAATGTGTGTATGAGCTGTTTATTTGGTGATTTCAACGTATAATATGGAAGCCCTCTTTCCAATAATATTCGCTAATCGCACAGAATAACACCAACTGATATAATAGTTCAAATGCAATTATGATAAGTTACCTCTTGAATTACGTCTCAGAAACCGTGTTGGAAATTTAAATTCTGACCCATTACATAACGTTACCGTTTTACATCGTTGTATAAAACATTTTGATGACATGCATGTAAGGAGTAATTTCTCAGCCCAGAGACCTATAGCCCAAAAATTTAACCTTAACGACCTTGGGATTTTATAGGGATAGAGCCACAACTGAGGAATCTATAGACAGTGTTATCTGCATGTAGGGCCTATACCTTCTCAAAGTTGTAGACAAGATATGTTGTTTAATGGTTAATAGAAATTGGTCTTTTTGAGTGACATAATCGTTTGTCATCATCGATCCGTGTCGTTGAACAATGAAAAAATTTGTCGTGAAGTTAGTGAAGACAAAATTGCAGTTTGTGAGAAAATTGCAGGTCTATACAGAACGGGAACTTTTCGGATGGCGAATGTTTTCCAGAAAGGCAGCAACCAAAAGCAATCTCCATTTGGAAAAAGTTCGATAGAAATTTAGAGAATTACACACCTGCTATATCGAGTCGCCATAGGTTTCATTACATCCAAAACTGGAAGAAGTCCTGCAAGGTCAACCTTTTTTGATATCGGCGATTAAATATAAATCTCCCTGATCTGCAGAAATATAATCCAATAAATGCGTGAAATGATAGTACAATTTAGATTTTCATTCCATGCGGCATCCCACTTTGAACTATAGTAATTTGTTAGCAGCGATAACCTCAATACCAGGTCGAATTCTGATTGGTTCTTATGATACAGAGCAAGTGACTAAATCCATTCAGTCTTAAAAACTTAATTACAATTTTAATTATTTAAGGTTTCAAACAAATTAACATTTACAATAAGTTATGACAATTATAGTTAGCAAAATTGTAATAATATTGTTAATCGTTAGACGTTACAGTAATTGCTCATTTCGTTTAATGTTATTCCCTGGATAGTCTCAGCAAGGCGTCTCACAAAACTTAGTAATTATTTGCCAAGTATACTACTTTTGCTAAGTTTGAATATTTTGGTAAAAACAGCTTTGTATGATTTACAGTTATTATTTATACTATATTAAACTACAAACTTTTTACATTTTCTAAAAATATTTTCTATGACTATGTCTGTGCATGACCCGCATAGTCTATGGTCGCACCCTATAGCCTATAGGGCTATGCCTATGGCCGTTTATTAATTTTTACTATGATAGTCCATGTTATTGCAACCGATTGCTGTTAACTATATTTTGTTTGTTCTTGCCATTTTGACTGAAATAACGCGTACGACTTATTTTGTCTGCTAAACTTTCTTTCTTATTCATACGTCATATATAATTATTCCAAATAACTCAAAAATATAATTTACACTTGCTGATGAACGATCATAAAAGTGAGATAAAACAAAAGGCAATGATGCAAAGATAAAGAATGAAATATATATGCTTTTCCAGCTTGAAATTACAGTAAGCTGATCACAAAGTTAAATTAAAGATGGATGGATATATTGCACTGTCACTGTGTAACCTTTCTAACAGTAATAAGCGGCAATTTCCGAAAACAATAATATGCCATTGTTAATTTCCTTTCTTAATTTTGAGCAAAAACGTAATATGACAGAATAGCTTAATATATGATTAATTGGGACATTCGGATTCACGAAGACAACGCGAAGAGACGGCAATGAGGCACTCAAATGTTTTCCTAAAGCGGCCGTGTACACTTTTTTCGATCGAAATTAGAGCGATCTCAAACAGATTCGACTTCGAGACTGCACGGTTCCTAGCTTGGACTTCTTGTGGAGTGTCCACACTTGCAAAAAAACTGCTAAGCGAAAAATTAGCTCAGTTGTAAAACGTGAACCGATAATAATAGAGATAATAAGAGATGGTCTAGGTCAGATCGATCTCAAATGGGTCTCAGCTCCTTTTTGGTTGTCCGCGGCCACATTTGTGATTTAGCCCTATACGCCTCTGTCGATCTCTGAATCGATTTCGGGTCGATCGAAATTCATTCGCTAGTGTGAACGGCCTCCCTAACAGAAGTAATCTTGCAATTTTCACTTAATTTTTGCAGTTGTTTTCTCGTGTTGTCCTTTTTTTCTAAGCTTCTCTAAAACAGTGACAACCACATGTTGACTGTCGCATGTTTTACGCTCTTTATATATAAGAGTGATACCCATGGGGCATATATAAGCCATAAACATAAGACTTAAACGTTTTGCCTTTTGGCTACAAAATGTTAAGATTCTTAATTTTGATTTCAATAAAAGAACATATATAGCATAAAATGAAAGAAAATAGGAAGGCATATGCAGAAACTAAGGATAATGTAATCTACTCTGCTGAACGAGAACATGAAAGGATATGGCCACACATCTCTTACTTCAAACAATATCCATATCAAAGTCAAATATACAAATGCAACAAAACCAATGAACTTTACACCAGTCCAGGCTATAGTTCTACAATTTCTTTCTTCTCTTGTATGTGGGAAGTTGCTGGCAAAGATATTAACAGCAACCACGATTTCACGATCAATATAAAACAACAACCAAAATACAAATTGAGTAAAGGAGCTCATCACAACAGCTAAATGGAGAAACAAACCAAGGAATCCATCATTATTAAGAATAATATCTATACTCCTTGAAGGATTGCCTCCAGTCTTTGTTGAATTATCAAATATTCTTCCAACATCATGAGCTGCTAGGGTGATCGAGGAACATTACTAGATGTAACAGTGTTGTCCAGACAGTGAAAAAACTTGCCATTTCCAAAATGTTCAGACCAATTCTGGCCATTAACCAATGTATAACATACATATGAAAGGCTGCACAACTGCCATGAAATATCAGGGAAGAAACAGCCTTCATCTTCACAGGACTTTAACACAGCTTGTGTATGACTGCTGCAAATTAAGAAAATTATGTATAAGCCAAGTAAACTTATATGTGATAAAAACAAGTAAATTTTAGAATATATTAAGGAACCACTTTCATTGTCAGCCAAATGTTATGCAAAAATTATTTCCTTAGTTACCAAATGAGTGCAGTAATTGGAGCACAGCATATATACAGTACTAAATTATTCCAGGGGCATGGTTAACTGAATAAATGAATTATTGGGAATACACCCTTTCGATAATTACGTCACAACTACACTGTTTTCAACTTAGGACCACCTTAAATGGAAAGGATTTCAAGGTTTTTTTTCTCATGGGCTATGCACAGAGAAGCAGAACATCCTTCTTCAACACATGCATGAAAAAAGAATTCTTTATTTTGACCAATAAATGTGGAAATAAGTTTTAACACGAAAACGAGGCTCCAAGTCATGACCTCAGTCCTGGAGCCTCGTTTTCGTGTTAATGCTTATGTCCATATTTATTGATCAAAATAAAGAATTCGTTTTCATACATGTGTTGAAGAAGGATGTTCAGTGCTTCTCTGTTCATAGCCCATGAGAAAAAAAAACTTGAATTCCTTTCCATTTAAGATGGTATCTAAGTTGAAAACAGTGTAGTTGTGACGTAATTATCGAAAGGGTGTATTACAGTACCTCCCTCATTTTGAAATATATCTATAGAATTTCACCTGCAGCCATTTTTGTTGAATATATATGGCCTGCTAATTTGGCCATTGGCAGCCCGCTATTTCGAACCATGGTTGAATGTATACTATTTTAAAATCATTACTATACTCAACATGCGTATTTGAAAAATAAGATCTGCTTAATGCAAGCTGTATCTCACATTTTACCCCAATGGGGGGCATTGCACATCATATACATGTAATTACTACTGTGTACTTAACATAACAAAAGATCTGTTATTTCGTGAAAATTGAGCAATAGTTGAGCTTGTAGTTGTAGTGCTGCACCACAAGTCAGCAACATATTGAAACAAGGCTCTAGTCAGGGTGTTGTTATACATGTACTACAAAGTTAGATCGCAAAAGCCATGTTCCCATTTTATTCAATGAACAATGACAACTAGAACATTAGAAGTAAGTACATGTAAACAACAAGGAAAGTTCAGAGGTAATTGCCATTATCACAGTCACATGCAAACTATTAGTTACGATTATAGTGAAGAAGCCTGATTTTTAGCCTGGAGCAAATTCCCCTCCCCGGGGACGCCTTCCAAGAAGTAAATGCCTGACCCATAGATGCCAATTAAGGTCGTGTTTTGACCACGCGTGAGATGAACACACCTCAGCAACTGTAGGGGGGTCCGGGGCATCCCCCCGAAAAATTTTTGAAATTTGGGTCTCGGAAATGGGATTTCAAGCGTTCTGAGAATATATTTGGGAGTTATTTTTGTTTCTCAAAAACAAGATTTTAGAGGTACATTTTGTGTTAAGGCATAATTTTAATGTTTAACAAGTAATAATGCATGTGAAAACATGTGCATGCAACTACTAAGTACATCAAACTTTAAGCAGTATAATTGATAGCTTGATGCAATAGCGATTAACAAATACGCTCAGGTTACATCCTGAAGTAGTCTAATTTACAGTCTGTTTATTGATAGCTTTAATATACCAAAAGAAATTAGTTCAAACATTTTACATTATTTCTCTACATTTTAGCTTCTCAGCTAACTTTCTGCTTATGCATGAGATAATCAAACTGAAGCGTGTGAGCATGAGAAATGATGCTGAGGCGTATGTCACACGCTTAATGCGTGAGACTTGGCATCTATGAAGTGTGCGGGGAACAGGTGTATAGTACACCACATGCCTGACAAATGCCTGGGGGGGGGGGGGGGGGGGGGCAGGGAAAATTGA